CATGACTTGAAAGCAGCGTGAAAGTCACGTGTTCAGGACATTGCACTTCGGTACTTTTCTCATTGCGTGCACCGTGCAACAAGCTACCACTGACAAAAAGTATTCGCATGCCCAGTCCCCCAGGAGAAAGGAGAATTTGTTCGACGGTTGGACGGACCTGGCACTGTTCTGGATGATTGTGGACAACATAGTATATTATTCAGTGCCTGTTATACTCTTTGATTCAGTGGAAGGCCGTTATAATTGGTTTTTATTGGCGGCTTTTATAAATGCAAGTTGAAAGGCTAGCTATCACTTGTAGATTTAATTTATAGCGAATCCCCAGAGGACTCCAGTTAGGAATATAAAGTGGCACTTGTAGAAAAAGTGAAATCTGTTGATAACGTCGTTCAGCACTAGTCAAGAATGGCGTATTTACCTTCACGCATGTTTTCACACTTGAAATACACACAGTATGTAAAACTATTTGGAAATTATAGGAGCATCCATTCAAAGGTCAGTGAACCCATTAAATTAATTTTATATTTAAAAAAAAGGGTTTATTGGCATTTTTAACTTATTTTGCATCTATTTTTAGAACGGTTTGGTACTTGGGGTCTATTCTGAAGGAGGTGGGAAAGTAGCTTTTACAAAAGCGGCCGAACGTTTTAATGAAGAAACTAAAGGAAAATTACAAGAAGACCTTTCAGTGTAAGTTGTTAATTACAACTATGCTTTAATCAAACTGAAAGAACAATGTGCATGAGTAGAGGTTAAGTGCGTTAGGAGCTTTGCCAGAACGTGGGTGCATGTAGTAAGCAGCCAGTATGTTTTGGCCTTGCTTATTTTCTCCACAAAGTTTTCATTTATATAGAAGAATAAACTATACTTGCCAATGCATATGTTATATCTTTTCTATGCAAATTGAGAATTATGATTCTAGTAGCTTACTTGGGCCTTTCATTATTCATTAGCTGTTGATGAAATATAGATTGGCTATTAGCAAATTAGTTTTAAAGCATATTTTTTATTTATTATTTCGGCTTCATTTTTTAAATTACGTATGCTTGAAATAATACATGTAGTCTGACCTGAAACAATTTTTAGAGCACTTTTTGTTTAATGAATCCAAATCTAATTTTATCAAATAACTATATTTTGGTTTATCCTTTCCTTTGTGGCATTGTCTTGTTTCAGGCCATGCTCCATCACTTAGTACAGCTATTTAGCTACTAGAATTTGATCATCTACTTCAACAAATTTCCTCTGAATAAGCAATGAACTCCTTCCATATACTGCCTTACTACAACTCATTACTCGCTAACAGATTTAATGTTAATTTTTGGTGTGGAAGGCCAAGAGAGAACAAAAAGTTGTAGAGGCTATTGTAGTGGACAAATTAATTTACAAAAAATTGGTATGAAGGGAGAAATGTTTGAGTTCAAAATCACTATTTAAAGAGTTAAAATTGTGTGATATGTAATTGGCAGTGGTTCATAACAATTCTTCAGAAAAGCTGTTGTTGGTTGTTAACCTGAGAGAGGTCAGATTTATTATTATTAAATTCAAACATTAACTGTACCAAAGAAAGTGTTATTTTGTGCGTAACGGAAATTGTGAAGGTGATGAACTGGTGAGATGAAATAACACAGTTTCAAACATTCCAAAGAAAAGACATTAAAACACATGCACATATATTTTAGTTCATTAATGAATTTGTATTTTGTGTATATAGACCAATATTTATTAAATGGACTTAAAATTAATTGTTGTGAATTCTTTGATAATTGTCCTACCAAACTTTTAATTTTCAACAGTGCTGGTCCTACCCTTGGAAAAGGCAAGTCTCGTATTTTCTATAATTTAACTTCCGAGTTCCCTGTGGTATCTGTTGTGGGTTTGGGGAATGAAAATGCATGTTATAATGAAGAAGAGCAACTACATGAAGACAAGGAAGCTGTCAGAGTTGCTGCCGGAGGTAAGTGTTACATTTTCTTTTGCCCAAAACTATTTTAAAAATTGTGGTGGGGGATGATAATGTTCTGGAATTGCTGGCTGATATTTTATCTGACTTTAAATATTTCTTCTTCTTTAGTGAGCTAAGACAATGACAGCTGTATTGTTGCATCATTAAATAATATATTTGTTCTAAAGCTTTACTTCTATAAAATTTGCATATGGAATTCATTAGAATGGAAAGGAATGATAGCAAAAATATTTAATGTTTTGAACTAGTAAATGTTTGTAAAACATGTATGTATAGTATGTCTTTCCTACTCTTATGATTTTTGTAGGGGGTTATTGAACAAAAAGAAAGAAATGCTTTGTTAATCACAAATTGCTTATCCTTCATACTTCACAAATTTAATGTTTTATAACATGTACATATATTTACTTACTTAGATTTGGGACAATTGCATTTGTTATTTTTTCTGTGAAAGTTCACTTTGCATGTTTTCTTGAGCTTTTTTTTGCTGGTTTTGGTAGAAGTATGGGTTACTATTTTACTAGATGTTTAAAAATCAAATCTAGTATCAATGCAAATAAGTTTTCTATAACTTGGAAGTGAAAATACGTAGTTTTGAAATGTTGTGAACTTTGCTTTTTTTGAAACATTTATTCACCATTTAACTATTTACAGTTAAAATTCTGGGAAGAGATTTTGAAGTTCAATAAAACATGTGCTAATGATACTCCTTTCCGTATGTCACATTCAGTTTTTACTGTTTTACGACTAAATAAATCAAATTAAAATATTCCATGACTGGTTAAACTTCAACATTTCTGTAATTCATTTATTAACGAATAAAAATGACAATGTTTATTCTTCCAGTGTTAGATCTGTTGAACTTTTTCTTGGTTTTAATTTTCCCATTGTTAATGTGATCCAAGGTAATTTTTGTGAATTGATTGATTTGAATTCTAATCATATTACTTTATTTCTTTCATTCATTCATTTGTTTAGTGGGAGCACAGCAACTACTGACTATTGGTGTAACAGATATTTTTGTAGAAGACTTGGGAGATCCACAGGCTGCTGCTGAAGGAGCAGGTCTTGGTGTCTGGAAATATCAAGGGTTCAGAAATAAAGCGAAACAAAAGCCTCTACCTAAACTGGAATTGTATTGTGGGGACAAGTGAGTAAATGAATAATTGAGAATTTTGTTTCAGTAGTACAATTCAGATTATTACTAAATTAAATAATTTCTGTGAATCAGAGAAAAGTGGAGCAAAGGTTTAAAGGTTGCAGAAGCACAAAATCTGGCTCGACAGCTCATGGACACCCCTGCGAATCATATGACACCTACACTGTTTGCGAAGGTGAGTGTCTGATTCCATTGAATACCTATTGAATTGTTAAAAGTATCTCTTAAAAGGGGAGACTTTGTGACATGGATGATGTAATAAACATTAACCTCAAAAATGTAACGAATGAACTTCATCATAGTCTTGGGTAAAACAGAGCGGGTGCTGGCTCTTGCGCCCCCCTAAAAATTAAGGATGAAGTTCAAGAAATAAACTGATCATGTTCTATATGTAGGCTATAGTGTACGTTCAGTTACATCCCCCCCCCCCCCTTGTTTAAAATTTACAATGATTTACATCTCAAAATTATTTATTGATAGCATTATTTTATTATTAATTGATAGCATTATTTTTCTGGCAGTTTTGTTGACAAGATAAAACTTCATTATGTCACGTGATTTATATCTGGTTGTATTCTCTTTTTAAAAAATTTTAAGAAACCTTTTTCATAGTTGCTGAAAACATTTATTGTTGAATGATATTCTTCCAAATATGTTATTGGTAGAAATGCCACCAGTTATACAGCTTTCAATCAGAATTTGAATAATATATTTTGATTTATTCTTCAGTTCTTATTTAATGAGATATTTGGTATACCATAACTTGCAATGAATTGAATGACCTTTCAGCAGGGGCCTCCAGAGAACATTAGACTTGGGACAGTAGATACATGGAGGCCCCTTATTTCAGAAAAGCTCTCTCCCATGCACAAGCAAAATTTATTTCTTTGTGAAAAAGAAATCAATTATAAGCAAATACATTTAGAATGGGGAAAAAAAGAAAAGAAAAAAAATGAAGGCTCCAATTATTTTAGGACCTTGAGCTGGTTACCCCCCCCCTCCCCTCCTGGGTGACCCTGGCATTGAGTGAATATCAGTAAATTCATTTGCTTTACCTTCCAAGCTCATTTAGCAACTCCAAACATCAAAAATAACTTTAATTATTCTATTTGTATTTTTTCTCTTTATATGGCCGTACTTGAATACATTCATGAAATCATAAATTGAACTATTGCTGTAACATAGCACAGACATCCTCATTGTATTTGTAAAAGTTCTTTATAATTATAGTAATTAAATTGAAAAGCACACACTAATAATATGTTAACCATTTCTTGCAAAACTCTCATCTTCAAACCACTTATTATACAGTACTCACTCCTATTTAAAAAATAGTAATGATAATAATTTAATATATTTTGTCTAATAGTTTTTGAGTTTTGGTAAGTCTGAAGACTTCACATCAGGTTCCCTGCAATTTTTAACATAATTACAGTAGCACCATTACAATATATCCAAATCCAAACATTTACAATATACGAACCACTTAGTGCAAAAGCTCCCCCATGTCCATTTTTTTAAAATTTTGAGATTATGTTGATGACATGATATATCGTGTATATAGATGCATCGACTGGCATAAAAATCCCTCATGTCTGCAGCGAACTATGGATGTAACATGTGGCTAATGTTTTTGTTTGGTGCAAAAGCGGATGTAAAGTAATTCAGTTATTTTCCTTCATCTGAAAAATCATGGAGAGCACACACAAGGGATTCCTGCACCAACCAATTCGTGTATATGGTAAATGTCAAGACTGTCTAACCACTCATTTATTTTAAAACTATTATTTTTATTATCATCAGTTCAGTAAAAAAAACATATTTACAACACAATGTGGCCACATTGAAATCAACATTGAATAAACTAGTGACATATACTCACTAGAACGCGGATATTTAGGTAAATACCTATTTTTTTCTTGGTACCTTGTACTAAATGAAGTTTTATATATTCATTTTAGGATTATTTGAATTAAAACCCCTCGATTTTATGATGCCTAAAAAAGCCTATTTCAACATTAATGCCTCTTTGTGCCTATTTAACTTTAAAAAACCTAAAATGAGACTAATTTGCGTAATTTCTTTTGCCTGTGGCTACTTTTAACCTTTTTCTTCTGCGTCGGCACAATAGACAAGGATGATATTAATTTTATGTTGCTTTAATCTGTAACATAGTGAGAAATAAATATTGAGGGCATGGAACATGCGATAAAAGTCTCCATGCCACTACTTCGTAACTTCATGGAAAAGCCTGCCTACACTTCCCAGATAAAATGATTGAATTTCTGCGAAAGAAAAGTAATTTTGATCGATAAGAGACATTCGTTGTTGTTGTTGTGTGTTTGTTTTTTTTTAACTTGGAGAAAGTATTAGTAATTAATTCCCAGGCAAAATACGGTACATATAATTCTAACTAGAGGACACAATTAAACTTGTGCAATAGTGTTATTGCAAAATATACAATATTGATTTTATATATTATTGATTTACTGTTTTTATCGTAAAAAAAAATATACATAATAAATTGTATAAATGTGTGGTTTGTAAGTTTCCTTATTTTTGAGCCTATTCTACTATTTAAAAAGCCTAACTGAGATGCTGAAAGAACCTATTTTAGGCACCTAAAACACATGTTTTAATACCTAAAAATCTGCAGTCTAAAAGTAACTAAAACTGGTTCTGTACAGCTTCCCTGCTGTACCCTGTATTTTATTGGTTGTAAATGACTAATATTGTCAGTTATTTTCACTAAAATATTTTTATTCATTAGTTGGCTTTCAAATAATTTCTAAAAGATGGAACTTCTATTTCCTTCAGTCTTTTTAATATCGCATGCTTTATGGTATCTAAGGCTTTTGAATAGTCAATTGACAGCAGTTACTGCATGTCCTCTAACCACTTGTGCTAGTTGTTTTTTGTCCCTTTAACTTTTTGAAATCCATATGGATTATTATATTACTATTTCTTAAATATTATATACTTCACTTTTTTTTCTTCCTATTACTGGTAATATGGACATTGCCCTATAATTACTCATATCATGTTAGTCACCTTTCTTAAATATTGGTCCAATAATTGAAATTTTGAAGCCTGTCTGGAAGTGTAGCACTTTTGATACAATAATTCTGCAATTTTGTCAGTACCTTGCTAAAGATAGTCAGTCACGCCTTCGTAACGTTCTCAATAATTTGCGTTCTAACTTTATCAGGAGTTCAAGGTATCCCCTGTGATCGATCCGTACCTGCTTCGAACATTTCTTTAGATTTTTGGAGAAAATAACCAATAGAAGTTCTCGTCTTCAAAAGAAAATTGTTTCTACTTCGCGCCAGTGAAGATGTATTTGGAATGTTGTCATCAGTGCTCGCTGCGAGCTTTTGCCTTCATCTGTTTATTGTGCCAGAGTGGGAAGCAAGGTCATCGTTCAAGAAAGTTGCGCGAGTAATACACAATTAATTTCTTATTTTTGGTACGATAACCCTTATACTCAGAGCAGCAAAAATAACAATCGTCACTGTGATTTCTTTCCTCCCATCGTATCATTGGGACTCCAAATATGAATGTTTTCTTTTTATCTTTAGACCACAATTTTGATCTTCCACGCAAATGTAGCACGCTTTCTGGGTTACCCTCTATTTCGATCTCCCAGTTTCACCTCAAAGTAAGAAAAGTACACTATTTTAACAAAATGTGTACTGTTTTGTAACAGAAAAATTGCCACAGATCTAGAAAAACTTGTCTTGAAGCATTCACACATCCTCCGCTAGTCTTGTAAATCGTAGAAATAAATTTGAGGTTAGGAGTGGTGCCAAATACCCCAAATTAATCTTAGCGGCACTTCCAAAGTCACGAGCTGGATTGCAGAGAGGGTCACTCATGAGATCGGTAGTTTTGTTACTACTTAAATTTTTACTTTCCTGTATACGTACTACTTCAACCCTGATCCTTACGTGTGACCGTCCGTCTCTTCCGGAAAGGATCAGTTGGGAAGTTCTCGTCTTCAAGCTCCACCTTTGACCATATGTATTACTCTTGCAACTTTTCTTGAACGATGACCTCTCTTCCTCCTCTTTGACACAATAAACAGGTGAAGACAAATGCTCCCAGCAAGCACTGCTAACATTCCAAACACACATTCCCTAGAGCGAAATACAAACTTTTCTGTTGAGGATGAGATCTTCTGTCCTTGATCTTCTCCAAAAATTGTAAAGAAATTACCGAAGCAAGTGGAAGATTCATCACTGATGATACCTCAAACCCTTGAGAAAGTTACGAAGGCATGACTGATTCTCCAGAGATTGCCATTGTTTCATAAAATCTAGTGGCTGATTAATACATACTGTCGCGCGTGGAGGTTGCAGAAACCACAACAGATCCTTACAAAATCTTTTGCGCTGTTTTGAAATGTCAAAGGTTTGGGCATACCCAGCAATGATGTCGGTAAGCCCAGTGTGTGGGGAGTCGGTGCATCAGTGCACAATCCACATCCCCACGCTACACCACCCCACTGTATCAATTGTGAAGGTGTCCACCCAGCCAACTACAACCAGTGCCCTACCTTTCTCTGGGAAAAGAGATTCAGAAGATAAGTCACCGTAAAGGTTTCCTTCCCTGTGGCGGCGGCACCAGGCTACAAATCCAGTAGACCTGTCATGATCCTTCTCCAGTACTATAAAGACCAAGTCCTTAGGGGTAACAGCAAGCTGTCAAACACGTGCTCGTGCTCTAGTAGCGCACTTCAGTTGCCAGGTGTCGCCTATCGACTTCCCTCAGCGTGCATCCAAGATGGAAAGGTAAGAATTCCAACGAAGTTTAAAAAACATAGCCAAAAAGTCTTTCGCTTCTGATCAAAATGACTTTATCGAAGCCCCGTTCTGTTACGACTTCCGAGACTCGCATTGAGCGATCCTCCAGCCCATGTACGTCTCGGTCGCCCGTGGCAAAAAAAAACAAACAAACGGGAAATCCCCCGACCCAGGAGACCATCTCCAGCAGCAGTCAGGATGACTGTTGTTGGCGAGGAGCACTATGAGAGTTCCTCTAAAACTTTTAAGAAAGTGAGATAGAAAAAATCCACAGTAATTCGCTACAATGGCTCTCTCATGGAATCTTAAACGGCTTTGATGCGCGTTCACAATAATCGAGATTGATAATTTCTCGCCATAGACCATGTAAAGT